TAGTCCAGCATTTGCCTAGCATAAGAAAGGCCCAGAGTTTAGTGCTAGCCAATGAAGACAAAGGGCTATGAAAAAAGGGGTATAGAGAAAAGGAGAGAGAGGAAAGAGGAAAAGGGAGACTCGACAGAGAGGAAGAGTGAAAAGAAAGAGAAAGGAAGAAAATAGGTGTGGAAATATATATGAATGAATGAATAAGTGAGTGAATGAATGGATGAATATGAATCATACTATAAAGTTCAAAAAGGTGGCATAGCACTTGCTTAGCAAACATCAGAACCTAGAATAAAGAGATACAAAGAGGGGTCAGGCTCTACTTGTGGTCGTCATAATCATTAGCGTATCCAAGAGGCTTCACCCAGTTGCCCCTGGTTGTTGAGGTGGAGTAAAGTTGCGGGCTGTGGCTCTGCTCTGTGTACCCTTTCACGGTCGAGATAACCTTCCACTTGTACTTCGAAGGCCCTGACTTTAAGTCATCCTGTAATACGACTCCCCTCAGATGGTTGGAAGGGATGAGAGAGGGTCTTAAGCATAGTGAGGGGGCATGAGAGTCAGAAGGTACACATCCTACCTTGTTGCGTTTGGCCAGAGGTAGGTGACAAGGATCTTCATGGCAGAGCACCCAGCCCATCTTTCTGCTTAGAAAGGAGAACTGGATGAGCACCTAGCCAGTAATGGCTACAACTGACTATTATACCAGGTCATGATGGGACAGCAATTACTTACTGGAAGTACACGGTGTGGAGATGCTGACACTGTGTGCCCACCTGCTGAAGTTGCTCATGGAAATAGCAGCAGTTGGAGACAGTCAGGCTGCAGGAAACAATGGTTCTGGATACTTGTTGAAATGTACTTACAAACCAACCACCCATCTAAACCTGCTTCCCACATGTTGTGCACTGTTTAGGCATCGTGGTCCTTTTTAAATTATAGATCCATCTTGGGCAGTGATTCCTGGAGTATGTATTTAGGCACTGCTGCATGTAATGACACACTAATTCCCAAAGTGATCTATGTGGGCTCAGGCTTGTTTTGCTATTTTATAAAAATCCAAAGTCATATGCAGTATTCAGTAGAATTCTTTATCCTGACTGGCAGACAGCATTTGCTGAAATATTTAATTTGAATTGCACATTCTATGATGAACCACATTGGGAGTAGTCTTGGTTTTATCATTCCTTTAATAGATGTGGGCCTACCTTTTAAAAAAGTTATTCATTTTAAATTATTATATGAATATTTTAGGATTATAATCATCATGAAATGAAAGAAAATTTGTCAGACCAAAATAGAAATTTAATTTAAGACAGAAATTGACTACAAGGTTTAGTTAGGACTGGAAACATGTATAAGAGGGTATTTTTAAACACTGCAGCTATACAGTTTTGTTACCAGTTCAGAAACATCACAGATGTGTTTTTTGGTGTCCTTGATGATCATGTTTGAGTCAGTTTAATTAAAGAGCAAACTTTTGTGAGGTTGAAAAGCATAGTAAACCTTTGTGTCGTCCATGGAGAAATGAATCTAAAACTCTGCACTTAGAGTCCCCAGATTTCTGTCACCAAGAAAACAGCAAATGCAGGGAATGACAAATCCAATTCACTGACCCGACCATGCCCCAAAGGATCCCAGACCCACCAGAGATACGTTCAGGCTTATTGCTGCTCTATCCACTGTTTCCCAGACACAGAACCTGCCTAGATACATATCAGTGGATAGATGGATAAAGACAATGTGGTATACATGGATGATGGAGTTTTATTCTTCTGTTAGAAGAGAATGAAATCCTGCCACTAGTAGGATAAGGATCTGAGCTGGAGGTCATCCTGTTAAGTGATAGACCCGAGTCAGAGAGAAGAGTACCTAGTGTTTTATAGTATGAGAAATTTAGGTTCATGCAAGCACAGCATGAAAGCGAAGGGGGCTGTTTAAGTGACCAGTGGCTCGTGCAGGCAGTGGGTGAATGTGAGCAAAGAACGGGGATAAGTATGTGTGAAAATGTCATAATAAACCCCATGATTCCAGTAGATTACGTGATGCCCCGTTTGGAAGATTTCTAGGGGTTGTATGTGGCGGAAGGCACTGCTGACTAGCACTCTTGACTGTGTTGAAGTTAAAGTGACCATGGTCAGAATAATCAAGCTGATCCACAGGCATGTGTGATTATAACATCCCCTTCTCTTTCCTTGGTGTCCATAACATTTCCTTCCACCTGTCACTTTGTCCTGGGTGACATTTGAAGCAGAAAACAAGTTGACCAGGTTTGTTTTCCAGTCAGACTCTTTCTTATGTTTCCTCTGGTGGCCCTTTGTTTCTGTGGGGCTCAAATTTACTATTCATGAGACCCATTTTAATCAATGACCATATCAGACAAATGGAAGCTAAGCACTGGTTAGTATGGTAGAAATAAACACGGGCTCTCATTAATGGTGCTGTCTGAATAATGAGTTGAGCATTGTGTCCTGAGCTACACTGTGAGCAAGCAGGCTTCTCACTGGAACGACAGGCTGACAGCCACATCTAGGAGTACAGTCATTAGTGTGCCCTGCCATCAATGTCACGGTACTGTGTCAAATTAGTTAGTGTCCCCTTAGCCGAGAAGCTGGACCTACAAATTATCCTCCCACATCCCTGGAAGCCGTGTTTGCGAAACCCTGCGATCAAGTGTGAGCAAATTATTAACACGGCTCATAAATTAACTAGTTTACAGGCTTATAACATTTTACAAGTAGATAATAAAGGGCCCAAAAGTTCCCCAATGGCTCTGCCCTGGTGTGAGGACTGAGACAGGCCGACTTTCCCTTGAGGCTTCTGAGGCCGATCTTTAAAGAGGCACAGCACTTGGGGTCTCGGAGTCAGTGTTGGGTGGTACTTGCCAGCAAGTGTACTTCCATTGAAGACAAGATAATGAACTTCATTATCTCATTATGCTGGTGAGTCTATGACAATGGTCCTTTCTCATGATGACAGTCATCCCTTAGAAGTTTACATATGAATGATCACTGCTTACTCCAATGGAAATGTTCTTTTTAAAAAATTATTTTTTATTTTAGGTTTTTCAGGACAGGATTTCTCTGTGTGAAAGCATTGACCGTCCTGGAACTCACTTTGTAGATCAGGCTGTCCTTGACCTCACCTGCCTCTGCCTCCCAAGTGCTGGGATTTTTTTGATGCATTATTCTGTCTAGCTCAAGAAGAATGGTGACCACATAGCCTACCTTAGGAGAACTCGGATTGTGTGTGTGTGTGTGTGTGTGTGTGTGTGTGTGTGTGTGTGTGTGTGTGTGTGTGTGTGATATCATCATTGTGTACAAAAGAGGTCAATATCAGGTGTCATACTCAAGTGTTTCCCACATTTTTTTTTCTGAGATGGGGCTCACTGACTTGGCTAAGGCTGTCTGGCCAGCAGACTGCAGGGACCTCCTCTGTCCACCTCTTCAGCAATGGAATTGCAAATACATCCCACCAAATTTCTTCTTGATGTGGTTTCTAGGGATTGCATACAGATCCTCATGCTTTCACAGCAAGCCCTTTCCTGCCTAGGCCATCTCCCAAGGCCCAGAACAAGGATGCTCACGCTTGTCTGACTTGAACAGGCTACATGTTGCAGGCAGCTGATACCCAGAAAACAGTGTGGCTTAGGCAGCCTGAGTTTACCTGAATCTGGAAGAGATACCCAGAGTGCTGTTTCTGAATTGCCCTGTGTGTTCTGCTTGGTTTCCAGAGACTTGTGACTATTCCAATCATAAAACTCCATACATCTTTTAAGTTTCAACTTCTCAGATTGATTAATCTAAAAAATGGGGCTGGGTGGTAGTGGTGCTCCCCTTTAATCCCAGGATACTCGGGAGGCAGAGACATGGGGGTCTCTGTGAGTTTGAGGCCTGCCTGGTCTACAGAGCGAGTTTCACCGAATGTTGTTTGAACATACTGTGGAAAGAGAAGAGCACGTACAAACGCCTGAAGGGCTCACACTGGGCCCTCACTCTGCTTCATTCTTTTTCTCTAGAGCATTCCTTCTCTAGGCTCCACTGCAGTGGAGTGGCATGGTCACCTCAAGGCTTCCTGGGGGCCGTTGACTAGCAGCTAGTCTTACACTTTCAGAAAGCACTCAAAGGGAAAATGACTGCTCCATCAGCAGAATTGGCAAACTCAGAACCCCACTTAGTAAATAGTATACTCATAACTCAGCCAGACCCCCAGAAGCCCACAGCTTTAGCACACATGCTTGCCCTGCATGGCAAGGCTGTCCTGGTCTCCACTGGCATGCGAAATGCAATGTAAACTGACAAATGATGTGGCTGGCAGGCAGTAGTATTCTTACCTTTTCAAGGCACCTGTGGTCTGGAGGTTATGGGTTTCCTCCTAGCCTCATCTACAGAGCCCCTGAAGCCGAGATAAGAATCTAAACCTGAAGTGAAGTCTTCGTTTTGTATAAATGTGCCTTCTTGCTCTTACTTCTCAGAACCTGTAGGCATTATAATTCAGATAATGCATCCTAAGAATATGGCTTGAGAGATACCTCTGTCTGTAAAGTGTTTGTCCCACAAGATGAGATTGTGTTCCAGTCCCTGGTATACACATAAAACAGTGGCAATTGTCACTCATCTCAGAGTTGGGGACATAGAGACAACCTGATCAGTTAGGCTAGCTGAAGGGTAAGCACCAGGCTCAGTGAGAGACCCTGCTCCCCAAATAATGTGGAGATGTGATTGAGGAAGTTCTCTCAATGTGACCTCTAACCTTCATACACATGCATACACCGAAAGAAAAGAGAAGAGCAAAGGGGAGGAGACAATGCTGAACACCTCAGGAAACCACACTACCTTAGGAAGTATCTCTGCCCTCAGGAGTGACCGTTGCACTCGGTTTAATGTTTTTCATCTTCCTGATTCTAGAAGGGAAGGGGAAAAATTGGGGCAAATATCCTGTTTGAATAAAGGAAGCCTAGGGAGGCAACCAAAGCCCCTGGCCCTAACCCTTCTTTCCCTTTTTGCCCCCAGGGTCCTACTGTGAGTTGCAGTCTTGTGGCATTCTGCAGGCCCCCTGCCAGTGACCCCAGGCCTTTTATGGCTGTGAGACTTATTAAAAGCTCAGGGTAAGTGACCAATGTGTGGATCACCAAGGGGTGGAAAGAAAATTATGGGTCACCGGCCCCACGATCAGGCAAGAGTTCCAAAAATGACAGGTGCATATATGCTGCCACTTTCTGTGACAGTTCTATGACTTTTCCACATAGGTACTTTCAGGGCTGGGGTGGTGGCTCAGTGGTTAAAATGCTTGCCTTGCCAGCATGATGGCCTGAGATCAATCTTATGCAAAACAAAATGAAACTTACCACTGAAGCACTGAGAAAGTAGAGACAGGTCAATCCAATGGCTTGCCGGCCACCCAACCTGACCTATCTAGTGAGTTCTAGGTTGCAGTGAGAGACCCTGCCTCAAAACAAGGTGAATGGCTCCTGAGGAATGACACCCATGGCCTCCACACATGTCCATATATAGGCATATGTCCCTGTACAAGTATGAACATGCATGAACAGAATGAACTAAAAGAAATCCCATTTATGCCTGGTCATAGGTCATAGTTTCAAAAATATATCCAAATACAGACATGGCTCATATTGTTTCCAAAGTACCAGAGAGTGACTCTAGTTACCCTCCTGGGCCACAGACAATGTCTGTTGTGGTTAGGCCCTTATGTTGTTGGTTAACTGTGGGTCCTTTGTCCCCTAAACATTGTATACCCAAATAATCATTGTGCTGTATTGATCCGAGGGCTTTGGTTTGCTTCCCCATCTGCTGACACATCAAGGTTGGGGTGCCATTCATGAACTTGACAGCTCACAGGGTTCTAGTCTCTCTTGACGTTGTGCAAATAATGAATGAAGAAGAAACAGGTTTGAAATACATGCTCTTCCAACTTGGCAGGAGACTGCCAGGTCAAAGCATGGTAAACTGTATGTGAATGGCTTTTTCCATGTGACAGGAAAGCCCTTCCATCCCTCTCGCCCCCCAGTCACCTTCGCTTTCATTAGCTAACCCAGGGTGGTGGGATGTTCTTTTATTTGTGTGAGTCATGTGGTCTCTGAGCTCCGTCTGTGTTACACTTGATGGACACGCTGTTGAAATATCTCTTTAGTATCAAATATGGATGAAGGGATACACGGGTAGATTATGGCAGGCTAAAGATCAAATGCCAATGAAGAGCGATTAAATTTCCTTTAATCATCAGAATCTGAGAGGGCTTTAAGATCTTCCACCTTTAATATAGGCCTTAATAAATAATACCGCTTTGAATGTCTGCAGTATGTTTGAATTTCACAAGTCTTGCATGTCAAAACATATAGACAGGCTCAGCAAATACACTTCTCCAGACCAGCAGTGCTAATTAAGAAGGGAAGTCAGGGTTAAACAAACAGCTTTGAGAATAGAAGGTGGGAGCTAGAAACCCAACTTGTGGATCTTTCTAGGGTTCTTGTCCTCGCAGAAAATGGCAGTGCCACCTCAAGAGGTGTTTTTGCTTCACTGTATTATCTGACTATCTCAGAACAGATGCTGCTGTAGGTAGGTGCACAAATTTGCTGTCTTTGTGCTCTGCCTGTTCAAGGGTATTGGTGCTTTCTTTCCTCGTGGTGCCTGCTGGATCTCCAGCCATTGTTCCTAGATCCTGCAAGGAAGAGATGGGATCAGGAGATGAAAGTGCCCTTCTAGGGCAGGCAGGCCCCTTTGCACGGCTTCCCTGAAGCCTCACTCGTGCCTGCTAGTCCTCTTCTCTGGACTCCTGAGAAATGCAGCCATAGCTGTAGGAAATGTGCTTTAGAGGACTGGAAAGCAGGAGACGTGGACAGTTGCCATGTGGTTACGTGCACGTGTGGTTGCTTACACGAAGTTGTACAGTTGCCCTGGGTCTTGTTTGACTTACTCTGTTGACATTTCAGTCTGCCTGATTCTTAGCAGAGACTTGCTTCTCAGCACTCTTGATACTCCATGTTTCTTATGGTACCATGATGAGTCTGAGACTTGCAAAGGACACCTTCTCCCCACCCCCAGAGAGGTGTAAAAGTTCTAAGTCCTGAATATGCAGATGGTTCTGAGGTTTGGTATCCCAATGCCATAGCCAATTCCCACACAGTGGTGTGCTCCCAGTGTATGTAAGAGACAAGACTGAGGGCCCTGTCTTATGTAGACTTGTAGATGTGACAACCCATCTCCCACCATTCCCTCCCAACTGTGGAGCATGCCAGCTGATGGGTGACAATAGACTGGCCTGGATGTACTTTCTGTGACAATTCCCAATGGGCTCGGAACTTACCTTGTCCTATTGGACACTGTCTTTGTCCCCAGCCTGTGTGGTGCTCACGAGTGCAGTAGGCTGCTGGGTTAGTATGCTTGCTCTCATACCTGTTGTGGACACAGGACAGCAGTGTGAAGTTAGATTCAGCATGTGCTGAGGTTAGATTGACTTAGACTCAGATCCTGTTTTTCCAGGTGAGCTTCCCTTAGTAGACCAGACAGATCACTTAACAGCCCTGAGTCCCAACTGTATCTCATCTGGAAAGTGGGTACAAGTTAGGCAGTTGTGGATGATCTACGGTAGAGAGTCAGCAAGATGACTCAGGCAAAAAGCTCAGTACAGACTGGTCCTTAACTGAGGCCACCAAGAGCACTGCCCTTGGGAAGGTCGGCACCTGCCATCCTGTGGCTAGGATGTGGATAGTTGTCATCTGACAAAACATGCACTTTTTACAATCCAGTACTTGTTGCCTGGTGTTCCCTTTTAAATATATGTGCAGCTTTGCGGGTTGTCCCTGATGCCTCTCTATGAGGACCTCTGCAACCATGAACCCTGGGGACGCCTCCACAGACAGAAGGGAGAGCTTAGGGTCTATTTCTGTTCTCTTAAATACAAGTGGTTCTTGTCTTCCAAGGTGATGTCCCAGCACTGCTTATGGTTCTTTGCTCTTGGTCACATTGGTCTCTTCTCTTCTGTGCCTCAGTTTCCTTATGTGAGATGGGGGCAGATAGAGGTGTCACCTGGGTCAGAGGGTATTACTACTATAATGAGGTGGTTCATTCCCTGTGCCCTGTTCCCAGGGCCTGGAATACAGTTGTCAATTTGGAAGGCCAGCAAGGGCTTCTGTGAGATGCAGTGAGAAATGTTATCCTGAGCTTTCTTACTTTCCAGCTTAGAGTTTTCATTTTTCTCTACTCTTTTTCCCTTCTTGGGAGGGTAGAGGAGAAAAAGCTGCTGCCGTGTAGTTCGGGCTGGCTTTGTACTCAACACCCTCCAGTCTCAGTCAGTCTCCATGGTGCTGGAATTACACAGGTGCTACAAGGCCCTGCAGCACTCTTGGATTTTTTAAAAAATATTTTACTCATATGTTCATTGGTTTTTTTTTTGGGTTTTTTTGTTTGTTTGTTTGTTTTTTACCATGGGTGTCAGATCCCCAGAAACTGGAGTTACAGGCAGGTATTAGCTGCCATGTGGGTGCTACAAATTGAACCCAGGTCCTCTGAAATAGCAGTCGGTGCTCTTAACTACTGAGTCCTATCTCCAGCTCCTGCACTCTTTGTCTTAAAGGTGACAGGGAAGGCAGACACTTGATTTCTGGCGATGTTTGTATGTTCATGTTTCATGTATTAAATGAACTATAAAATGGAAAGCAACAAAGAGTGGTCTGAGGAAATTTTTGTTTGGTAAGAACACTTGGTTCAACCATGAGGCCCTGAGTTCAGATCCCAGAAGCCATGTAACAAGGTTAGCCATGTGTGTCTTCAACCCTAGTGCTGGGGCTTGCTATTCAGCTATCCTGCCCCTGACAAGATCCAAGCTCAGTGAGAAACTGTTTCAAGGGAATAAGGCAGAGGATCGAAGAGGAAGACACCCACTGCCCACCTCTTGCCTTCCCATGTGTGCATGACAGTGCATCTCCCCTACACACACACCCAAAAATGTACACAACGCAGATGTGGAAATGAGCACAATTTGTTTACCGTGTGCTGACTGTTGGATATCTGTACCTTGTCTCAGACCATACGAGGTCCAAATGTCAAACCCAGCAGCAGTTCATTCTTAGAGCCCAAGCCCCTTCCTCAGAACCTTGGAAACTGGGTGTATATAGTGCTGAACCCCCACTTTGGAGAGCTCCCTGGGGATCAATTTCTCCCAGTATTAGAGCTGGTTTGATCTTCCTGGCAGTAAAAGGAACCTTGTAGTGGTGGAAAGCCTTCTAGGTGGTTAAATGCATAATTGACATGTCAGTCCAAGTCTTCATGTTCTTATCTTTTGATGGAAAACTCACATTTGCATAGCTGGAAGGAGTTAGCTATAAATATCCGTCACTGTTAACACCTTTTTACCTGCTTTGAGAGGGTGATAGTTGCTGTATTGTTCCATCATGCCTGTAGTTGCCATGTGTTCTTCAATGTATTTTACATAAAAGCCAAGGAGTAGAGAATGCCCCCTCCCACCTCCTCATATCACATGGTTTCCGCTGGTGAAAGGTGAATATATATAATCTCTCACTCTCTACTGACCTGAGCCTTGGGTTAGCTAGGGCTATGTAAAGAATCAAAATTGCCATTTGTCAGTTTATACTTTATACAGTCTCAACATATAAAATAAAAGGATACTATTAAAGTATTGTCAAGGGGTCTGGGACATGCTCAGTTAATAATGTACTTGCTTCACAGCATGCGAATCTGAATTCGGATCTCCAGTACCCATAAAAAAGCCAGGTACAACTGTCCTCCCAGAAGGGATAAAAGGCAGAAACACAGAGACAAGAGGACCTCTGAATTCTGACCACCTACTCTATCCAAATCAGTGAGTTCCACACCGAGTGAGAGACCCTGCCTCAAAAAATATTGTGAAGAGCCGCTGAGGAAGATACCTGTTATTAACTTCTGGTCTTTGCTTATGTGTGCTCACAAAGTCACGTGAACGTGTTGTCCCCCCACATCTCTCCCTGTTTTTCTTCCACACTCCCCAGCCCCACACCTGTATGTGCCTGTGAGCGCATGCATAAAACAAAATGAAACACATACAGTAGAAGGCCTGCCATCCTTTTGAGGAAGGAAAAGGATCAAATCCAGT